TCTTCTCCCTCCTTGGGTTTAGGGTTTAGGGTTTAGGGTTTAGGGTTTAGGGTTTAGGGTTTAGGGTTTAGGGTTTAGGGTTTAGGGTTTAGGGTTTAGGGTTTAGGGTTTAGGGTTTAGTTAGGTTTAGGGTGTAGGCCTAATCTTCTCCCTCCTTCTCAGGAAGGCTTCGAAAATCTTCTCGACGCTGGACTATTGCATCCTCCGAAGTCCGCAGCAGGCGGACCCCAGACCCCCTGGAGTAGGGTTTGGGGGCTTTTTTGGGGTTTTGGGTTTAGGGTTCCTAAACTTTCCGGGGGGATCTATAATGAACCCTACTAAGGACCCCGGGTTTCTTAATCAGGTTCTTATATTAGGGTTTAGGGTTCCCGTCTAGGGTACTATAGGGTCCTGTATCAATAGGGTTCCCTTTAAAGGGCTCCTGTTGGGACCCCGGGAGGATCGAACAAGTAGAACCCCTATTTTGCGGCCCTGCACTACCGAAGGGTACTTTATCGGAACCCCTATCCTAAACCCTAAAACCCGAAACCCTAAACCCTGAAAGCCTTAACCCCGAAAGCCTAAACCCTAAACCCTATAAACCCTAAAACCCTTAACCCCTAAAAAGGAGAACTCTAATGATCCATTTAAAAGGAACCTTAAAGACGCCCGGAAGGGATGATCATTTTGGATCCTCCCAGGGGTGTGGGCCCTGGGGACATGCGGAGTGAGGCTTCATTGGAGCCTCAGTTATATGACGGTTTAGGTTGTTTAGGCTTTGGAGTTTAGGGTTTACGAGTAGGGTTTAGGGTTTAGGGGTTAGGCTTAGGGTTTAAGGGTTTAGGGTTCAGGGTTCAGGGTTCAGGGTTTAGGGTTTAGGGTGAGGGTTTTGGGGGGGTTTAGGGTTTATGGGTTTAGGGTTCAAAGTTCAGGGATTAAGATGCTGAGCACTTGTCGGGTGAAGTTGGGGGTTCTGCGTTGAGACGGGGAGGATTGTGAAAACTTCTGCATCTTTTCTGCACTCACGCTCGTGCTGATATGTGCCTGTGCAACATGCATGCATTCATGCATGCGCACTTACATACACAGTACATGCATGGTCGAATACATGGGTATACATACATGCATACATACATACATACACATACATGCTTGTATGTATGTATGTATGCATACATACATACATACACACATACCATATACATACACATACATGCACGCATACCTACATACATACATACATACATACAGACATACATACATACATGCATACATACACGCACATACATGCATGCATGCATGCATGCATGCATGCATGCATGCATGCATGCATGAATGCATGCATGCATGCATGCATACGTACATACATGCAGGCACACACACATACATACATACGTACTTGCATGCATGCAT